AGGACAAGAGCAGACCAGTGGAAATCTGGCAGGAGTCGCATAGTCGAAGCTAGAGAGCATACTCCGTAGGCCCACAAGATAAGATTGATAAATCTCTTTATTCTCCTCTGGCCTTCTAGGAAATTGGGATACTTGTCATCCGAGCCAAGCGGCCAGTATATGTAGATTTCCAATGTCGCAGCTGAGACGATGGAAATAATGGGTAGATAGTGACAGATGAGTGAAAGAGACAAATAAGGTCGACCTCTTATCAGGACCGTCTATCTAAGGTAGGTGGTCCCCAGGCTTGGCAAGGAACGCAATCTTACATTATCAGGCAGCTAGATGTGCGTCTAGCCACCAGCGTCTACAGAACAATGGGGCTGACAATATGGGATTGAAAAGGGCATCATCGAGAGTAGAAACTCCGAGACCTGATGGGAATGGAACGAGTGACAGATTATGGAGTATGGACCGGACTAACGGGGACTAAGAATCTACTCCGGAGTACGATCTACTCTGTACTGCAATCACCAGCAGAGCAAGTCGTGCAACACATCAGAAATATTATTAATTTTTGGCCAATTATTGAAAATCAGGATTATGATTGCTGGCGTAATGGAATTGAGACGCGAGAATTTGTCCCACTTGGTTCCGCAGAACCATGAGCATGATTGTTGGGAGATTAAGCTGTGCTCTATTGTGCTGCGAAAACATCAGTACACTACTCTTCGGCCGGAGCAGTCCTTGCTCACCACTACATGGTCAAAACCCAATAGTAATATTTGAAGATGATACCAGAGATTTCTCTGAAAAGGGTCAACTGACCAGAAATACTCTTTGAGAAATTAAGTTTGTAGCTGCAGGAGTCGGTGTGTGAGTGCGTACGTCGCTGTCCATCCTCTTGAAAGCAGCAGATGGAGTATAGGAATACTGGACGCAATATCATCAACCAGCAGAGAGACTGATGACAAGCATCTGGGATCATTGAGCTAGCGGGAAGTCTCCTGCTCCATTTCTTACCCCTTTTTTCGAATCTTTTTCCACGCTCACACCTTCCGTTCGCAATGCACTGTCATCCATCCAGAATTGTTGTGGATGTCGACTCTGCATACATACTGCTGTCTGTCCGTGAATACTATAATGTTTTGCCTTACCAAATCGCAGTTCCCACTCTGATTCGCTGAGTCAGGCCCAGCTCACCTAGAGAGGTATCTGGGAGCCTAAGGCACTATTCGGTAATTTCCATAAGTAGCAGTGGACCCATAGCACCAAACCCAGATAGGCTTAGTTACGGAAGAGGGCCCCATTTGGAGCGAATCTTTTTTGGTTTTGCCTCTGAGAAAATGGAATAGAAATCCCCTCGACAGGAGGAGGGGTTAGGAGGGAGAAGCAGGTAAGACGATTCGGGCAATCAGTCGGCCATTGCTTCTTTTCTCTCGTCCTACCTTCGGCTTTAAAGGTACGCCTGGCCCTCCCTCTTTCTCTTCCTTCTGTTTCTCCTCCAAGCTACATCGTCTTCGCAATCATTGTCTGCTTCCTTTTTGTGCGAGAGAGACTGCCTCTTTAAGTGTTTACCTTTACCTTCCTTCCTCCATACATAATATTTTCAATTTGCACCCCCACCGCCACCATGTCTGCTCGTCCCCAGAACGTTGGTATCAAGGCCATTGAGGTCTACTTCCCCAGTCAGGTATGTTGGTCTACTTTCTTTGCACCTCGTCCTGTCCAACATCTCCAGTTCACAACAGTGCTAATGGCACGTGCAGTGTGTCGACCAGGCGGAGTTGGAGAAGTTCGATGGAGTGAGTGAGGGAAAGTACACAATTGGTCTGGGACAGACCAAGATGAGCTTTTGTGATGACCGTGAGGGTATGATTATTCCACTTCCTTGTTCCTCGCATACACCGAATGTTAACTGTTCACCTCCCCAGACATCTACTCCATTGCTCTGACCACCTGCTCCTCCCTCCTTCGCAAGTACAACATTGACCCCAAGTCTATCGGTCGTCTTGAGGTCGGCACAGAGACCCTTCTTGACAAGTCCAAGTCGGTCAAGTCAGTGCTGATGCAGCTGTTTGCCCCTCATGGAAACACCAACGTTGAGGGTGTCGACACCGTCAATGCTTGCTATGGTGGTACCAACGCTGTATTCAACAGCATCAACTGGGTTGAGTCTTCTGCCTGGGATGGCAGAGATGCCATTGTTGTCTGCGGAGACATTGCCCTCTATGCCAAGGGAGCTGCCCGCCCCACTGGTGGTGCTGGTGCCGTTGCCATGCTGATCGGCCCTGATGCCCCTATTGTGTTCGAGCCTGGTCTCCGTGGCAGTTACGTCACCCACGCTTATGATTTCTTCAAGCCCGACCTCACTAGCGAATACCCCGTCGTTGATGGCCATTTCTCGCTCAAGTGCTATACCGAGGCTGTTGATGCTTGCTACAAGGCCTATGCCGCTCGTGAAAAGGTGCTCAAGGCCAAGGTTCAGAATGGCACCAACGGAGTTGAGAACGATGAGACCAAGACTCCCCTTGAACGCTTTGACTATATCCTGTTCCACGCCCCTACCTGCAAGCTGGTGCAGAAGTCCTATGGCCGCATGCTCTACAATGACTACCTCGCCAACCCCAGCCACCCCGCCTTTGCCGAAGTACCTTCTGAACTACGCGACTTGGATTACGAGAAGTCTTTCACCGACAAGACCGTCGAGAAGACCTTCATGGGTCTGACCAAGAAAACTTTCGCTGAGCGTGTGCGTCCTGGTCTTGACGTTGCCACCCTCTGCGGTAACATGTACACGGCCACCGTGTATGCTGGTCTTGCCAGCTTGCTCAGCAACGTCACCTTCGATCCCAGCCAGCCCAAGCGCGTCGCCCTCTTCTCGTACGGCAGTGGTCTCGCCAGCTCCATGTTCAGTGTCAAGATTGTTGGCGATGTCTCTGGTATGGTTGAGAAGCTTGACTTGCACAAGCGCCTCAACGCCAGAACCGTCCTGCCTCCTCAGGCTTATGATGACGTAAGAAACCAATGTTTTCCCCCTCTTGATAACCAAATCGACTGACTCTTATCTTCAGATGTGCATCCTGCGTGAGCACGCCCACTTGAAGAAGAACTTCAAGCCTACCGGCAACCCTGACACGCTCTTCCCGGTACATACTACCTGACCGAGATTGACGACATGTTCCGACGAAAGTATGAAATCAAGGCATAATCGTTGCCGAAACTTGACGATACAATTTTTTTTTCCCCCTTCCTCCTTGGACATGATCAGACTTTTAGACGGTTTATTAGATTCCCTCGAGCATCATCTTGTTTAGTCACAGCGCCTCGATAGAGTCCTGCAGCAGCTTGTCGTGCTGGTTCTCAACTTGATACCTTTTTTTGGGCTTTTTCTTTCAGAAGCGAAGGGAAATGGTTATATTATCCAGATTCGTTTTTAACCCAAACAGCACTCGGAATGGGGTTCATGAACAGATCAAATGGCGTGATTTGGCTGCTCTGTTGCTGTTGATATTAATATTTTAATTGAGCTATATGGCTTCTCGAATACCACGATTTATCTTGATGACGATTTACATGGCCTTGTAGTAACGTCGCTGGTCTTCTTTGCAACCCATGCGTCACGTGATGTGTTCTCGTCCAAGCATAGGTACGTTTCCAAGTTCAATATACCAAAGTAGGGGATAGTCATGATGTTCTGGCGACACGGGATTTGTTGGCAAACACGAAACATGTCAGCCAGTGCGGAAACGACCGGCTAAACGCGCTGATTTCATGTTTGGCTTGTACTGACTTCAGAGCATCCATGCATCCCAGTAAGCCAAGTAAGCGGGTGAGCCATCAAGTCGCACCTCCCTCTCTCTCTCTTACACCTGCGTTCCTCTCATTGAATCTCAAAATGCAGTCTGAATTGAATTTATTTTTCTTGTTGACGACAACTGATTTGCCGACTGCAGAAGGCGACATGTCAATTAAACTGCACATCGTCAGGGATGAGCCACTCAGCGAGCTTGACGCCGGCCTTGAAGGATGGCCCGGCGCCTACTGCAACCACTTCAGATGCTCGTGTATACCGGCATCCCTTCAACTGGTGTATTCTTAGAAATGGAAGATCTGAGACCAGGACACTTTGATTTCACTCGTTGAGGCTCTCTGGTCTTCTCTGCGTGCCACAGACAGTCGTTTCCGTTGCAATTGCTGCCTCTCGGCGCTTCGATCACTGAAGAGTCGTGCGTCTCAACGAGCCACGCACCCGGAAGGTATCACCAGGTGTATTTGGCTATACATCTGCTTGCCGCCGACTGATGAGTACCCAGGCGTTACGCTCATCCCTCTGCGACAAATTCCCATCAATTTGGCTACAATTACCCAGAAATAGCACGAAACACAAGTGTTGCCGATTTTAGATCTTGTCCCATGAGGCCTTCGAGCCATACCCTGAAGGGAAGGCCTGAGGATCTTGTCCAGATCCTGAAGAAATTGAGCAGATGCAAAAATTAGCAACATTTTGACGCGCGACTGCTACTTGAAACGCTTATGCTGGCCTTGTTTGCCCATGGTCTCGTTTGTTTCGCGCATCTTCCTAGAGATAATCGGCAGATCATGCCTCGAGACCATCGCTTCTACAGTTCTCAACACCCAGAATGGCTAGTTCACTGGCGTCAATCTGGAGCCTCCTCCATGTTTCAGGTTATTCTATTCTGGATCTGTCTATCGTATGCTTTTTTTGGCCCTGGGTCGGACGGCTTCTCTACGAAGAGCATTTAATATCCAAACATTCTCCGTCCTGATGCCTCCAGAACTCATCATTGTCGCTCATATAAAACATGACTCAACTGTGCTAGCGTTTCAATTGGAACATCTCGACACCCTCGCTTCTATCCTTCTTTATCACCTCGTTGGTGGACATTGCTCTTTGACGACTCGCAGGAAGCTGGTTCTTCCCGGTAGCTACTCGCTGATCATTCGTTGCCAAAGAGAGAATCGTGATTGAGTTCTTCTGTGACTCAGATATCGACATCATGTCCCTGGACTATTCTTATTATCAACCAACGACACCGCCGCGAATGCAATTGATGGAGCTCATTGGAGCCACCCACAGCCGCAATGCGTCCGATTCATCCGTCTACTCCAATGATTCCTCACCGTGGTCGGCCATGACCGCTGAAACCAGTCCGAGAGAAGCCTCTCCTCCCAGATACCAGCACGGCCCTGCTCTGCTGCCGAAAATCAGGTCGCAGGATGTGGTGATTGAGCCTGCACCCGCCCCTGGACCACAGCGCCATCGTCGAGTTTTGTCCAATACCCGGAACCCTCCAGGCTTCCTACCTTATCCTCCCAGGCGTCCAGACCTTCAGCGGAATGTCTTAGAAATGGCCGATTGTCTTCCTCTGGTGTCACCAGCTACAACCTCGCCCATGTATGGTTCTCACAACGGCTCCGCACTGTCGTCCCCTGTGAGCATTACGCCGTCGCATAAGCGCAAAGTTTCGGGCGCGCATTCTCGATCAGGTTCTGTTTCCAGTATTGACGAAACGACCCTGAGTCGATACGGCTATCCGACCTATCGGCATCTTCCAAAGTACACCACGCAAGCGCACCCTTCGCCATCCGCGCCAGTCACCCCTGTAACACCAAACATTGTGGTCCACCGGTCATACTCTCAGACCTCACCCAATGACGGCACTCCGTCCCCGGTCCAGTGTCAGACTCAGACGCCACTTGTCCTTCCACCTTCCCCATACGGGGGTACGCTCGAGTTCCGAGTGCGCAGCCTTCGCCTGTTGGCCTTGCGCCTCATGCGGAGGAGATGGTGACGCAGTCGACTACCTTGCTGTCCTACCTGACTTCCTCCACGCAAGCGATCAATCTCGTTCGTAATGTCAGTGTGGTTCCCACACGAGGAATGCACGACTATTTCTGGTGGGACATTAGGAACCTGCGTAGCTGGACTTCGTTCACGCTTCAGACGTTTAACTCGATCAACGGCCTCACCAAACTTCTGAGAACTGCAATCTCCTCCGACTTGACTCCGCCTGTCGCGGTAGCCCCGTCTCGCCTGTCTCCGGACTCTGAAGCCGCGTTGGTTAATCTTATACGAGACATCTATGGACCGCGTGTCAATGCCGCGCTCGCTGTATCCCAAGGACCAGAGCATCTAAAACTCTACCCGGCGCCTCACCTACGGGCTTCAAACAGCAAAAATACAGGTGGACCACACTTCCTTGCCAACTATGCATCTGACACCGAACAAACCAGTTCCGGTATGCCACGGGGCCGGCTCGTCGGTATCGTGAAGAGCTTTGACCGCTGGAACACGGGCATGCGCAACGAAGCGCCTCACCGGCGGGTGGAGTACCTCAACGGTCTGGCCCATCTACAACGATGCATGCGAGAGCACTCATGCCGGTACGGCTTCATCATCACCGAGATTGAACTCGTTTGTGTTCGCGCGGGGTGCGACGAAGGGGACGATGTGCCATATTTTGGGTTCCTGGAGGTATCGGCACCAATTCCGACTAACATCGCCGTGAGCCCGGAAGAACTGGGACTGCAGCCACCTTCTTTTGCCCAGCCACAGTCACCCGAGGTTTCTCACGACTGTCAGTCAGCTGCAACAGAATGCGACAACGCCTCAAGTTTGGCAGACGGTCTCAACGTCCCGATGACTGCGAGCCTGGCCTTGTACTTCCTGCTGATGCTGTCTAAATCGGTGCCCTTGCCGTCGCAGCCCTCTGCTCACCTCAACGTGGGCGGACCTGGAGCACTGACCCGCCAGCGGATTCTCCCAGAGGGCAAAGATAAATGGATTCCGGAACCGCAGATTGGAGAGAGACGAGATGCGAAGCGAGTTCGAGGATGGGTGTGGCCTCAAGACTCCTGGCATCGCCGCGAGGGCGGAGGCGTGCCGCGCAACAGGGCAAATGCAGCGGGGGAATCGAAGCAGAAGAAATGGCACAAGTAATGTCTGATTTAGATATTCTGTATCTAAGTATTATTGTCATAGTAATCTAATTTCTACTTGATACTTTTGAGCAGACTGAGCACACGGGTTGGCGCACAGTAGCCCGAATCGGGTCAACTCTGCCCCATCGACAACGGAGCCCAGCAAAGGTACCGTTCCAAACGAGATTATCAAGTCCACGAGGTCATTGAATGACAACTATGGCCCGTAAGTGAAGACTGCGTGCCCACATTCCCGATTCGATCATGCTTGTATCCACTGAGAACCCTCGCTTATCTCCCCCAGGGTCCCCAGCAGCGCTGCACATCATCGACTCCAGGAAGGTCAGACAAGGACCTTGGGATCCAAGTACCTCCTGGGTTATGGCAAAAACCATCGGTATATATCATAGCGTACTGCAAATAAGCGGCCAGCACCATGGCATTCCCTTGCATTGCTATCTTGTCACAACCAGGAATTGCCTCACCGACATTCATCTACCATAACCCAAACCAAACCTAACACAATGAGCAAGACGCAGCCTCCCTCCTCCTTGCCCATCCCCTCCCCACCCTCCACGATGTAATCATCATCGGCGCCGGACCCTGCGGCCTGGCCGTCGCCGCGCGACTAAACGAACAAACACCCTCCGCCATGTTCACCGACGAAGAACACCAGCGCTACCACTGGATCAACAAGCATAGCGGACGGATGACGCTCGTGCAGGCACACGGGAAGAAACTCAATGCCGTCAAGGCGGAGAAGTGGCAGAGCTACGACAAGCGGCAGCGGCAGCGTTCGCATCGACGTTCAAGTTCGTCGTCTACAGCCCCGGATACTTCAGGAGCGGCAACTCTCTCCTCTCCGCCGTCGTTGTCTTCGAGCCCGTCGTCGGTGGACGATGGGCAGGAGACGCAGATGCAGGCGATGGGCAGGAAGGGAGGAATCTCGATGGTGGTGTTGGATGGGACCGCTGCGGGGTGGATGGAGCGGTGGCACCGGGCGTTCAAGACGCTTGAGATTGCTCAGCTGCGCAGCCCGATGTTCTTCCATGTGGATCCCGCCGACCGGGACGGGATGCTGGCGTATACGCAGGAGACGGGGCGGGAGAAGGATCTGTGGGAGATTCCGGGGTGTGTGGGGAAAGAGGTGAGCAAGCATAAGAAGAAGAAGAAGAGGTTGCGGGGGAAGCCTGTGTAAGTGGACTTGATTTTTCACTAGCTGCTGTGTTAGGGGAGAGTCGCTAAGGAGGGTTGCAGGGCGATTGGCGAGGTGGAGATCGATGAACGAGATCGGAAGGATTACTTCTCGCCGTCGACAGGGCTGTTTGCGGACTACTGTGCTAGTATTATTGAGCGGTATGGGCTGGATGCACCTGGTCTGGTTCTCCAGAATGAGGTCGATGATGTCCGTTATGGCGTTCATGAGCAGATCTCGCCGGGCGAGAAGATCTTTACAGTGACTGCCAGTGACGGGAGGAAGTTTTACAGTCAGGCTGCGGTGTTGGCTATTGGGCCGGGCAAGACGAAGGTCTTTCCGTTTGAAATGTCTGCCGAGGAGAAAATGGGTGCTTGCCATAGCAGCGAGATCCAGACATTCCCTAGTCCTAATGTGAAAAGGAAAATACAGCAGAGACAGGAGACGAATGTCGTCGTCGTCGGTGGAGGGCTGTCCTCTGCACAGATTGTCGACATGGCTGTTCGAAAGGGTGTCACCAAGGTGTGGTTCATCATGCGGTCAGACCTCAAGGGTAAGTCGGATACATGGTAGTCACGATAATCTAGAGTGCCTGCTAACGAGAGTAAGTGAAACACTTCGACATCAGTCTGCCTTGGATGGGCAAGTTCCGAAACTTTGAGAAAGCAGCATTCTGGGGCGCAGACACCGACGAAGGTCTGTCTCTGATTTCCCCACCTGAGGCTTTTTGACTAACATCAAGTAGAACGTCTCGAGACGATCAAAATAGCCCGTAACGGCGGCAGCATGACGCCGCGCTACCAGAAAATCGTGAAGCACCACGCAGCCCGCAACAAAGTCTCTATCCACACGCGCACCGTCATCTGCAGCAAGGAATACTGCCCCGCGTCGCAGACATGGCGTCTCACCACAGACCCTCCCATTCCGGACCTCCCCCAATCGACTACATCTATTGCGCAACAGGCATGAAGTGCGACGTCCAGGAGCTGCCGCTCTTAAACCAAATGCACCGCGACTACCCTATCGAGACGAAGCAAGGGCTCCCGTGCATCACAGATGATCTGATGTGGCGGGCTGATGTGCCTCTGTTCTTGACAGGAAGGCTGGCTTCGCTGCGTATCGGCCCTGGGGCGCCGAACCTTGAAGGAGCACGGCTGGGGGCTGAGAGGATTGCGTGGGCCATGGAGGAGGTGCTAGGCAGGAAGGAGGCGGAGGATGATGAGGTGGGACGGTCCAGAGGGTGTTTTTGTGGGCTGGGGAACCGATATGCTGAGTTGTTGAACGAGGGAGAATTCGATTGGGAGGAATAGACTAGACTAGCCGCCGTTGCAGATCTCCCCATAGGCCAGATCGTATTCCATCGTACCGGCTCAAACAGCAATCAGCGAATAATGAATGCATTTACCCGGCTGACGGTAAAACTACGCATACAGAACCTGGTGATTGTGGCTATGGAGAGATGACCAACACACTAGGTCTTTGTAGGAACAGGCTGCAAATAAGCTACACGGCGAGCAAGCATGTGAGATTCCAAATAAGCCTCTGCAGTTGCATAAGCTGGCAAAGTGTGTATAGAATGGAGCTTGTGATGCCTATGTAGAACTGTTATCATGGTGTTGAGGAAGTGTAATGCCATACAGAAGTTTACACCACTAGACACTGTACTACCGGAGTGCCCTTTGTAATTTATGACAATACAATACACTCCTCATGATACCTTAATGATGCTGCCTACAGCCAGGCGACGTTCTGCTTCGCTTCTTTTTCCATCGTTATTCCTCCACTACCTTTCTCCTTGCAAGAGTTGCCATTTACCCTTGTCAACCATCCAACAAGCTTAAACCAAAATTCTAAGCCTCACCTAGTGTCAATGAGGCTCATCGCTCATGGTAACTACCCTGGAACGAATACGACCAGGGCCACTCGCCACAACCGCCACAACTGCGCCACATCCTTTCTCCTGGTCCCATCATCGCAAGATCGCGACCTTTCGCCTCCGCGCGGGTTCCTGACCCTCTCAATGATGGAGTTTTGACAGTTCGAAGAGATATGCCGAAAGTTTTTGAGATGTGGCGCAGCACCACAGATGTGGCTGCGTCCTCAGCAGAGCATCCTGTGGCTGCTTGTCAACCATTGACGACTGAATTGAATTGACAATCACATGGTTTCCTCAGAAACCACGGTTGACCTTCCTCTCAGTCAACAAAGCTCTGACTGGGTGACTGGACGGAGCGGTATGCCGTCCTAGGTGCTGATTATCGCATCCACATACGCATGCCCAGATGCCTCTTGCGTACGCGCGGATCGAATAGAAAAGTCTATTGTGATTTGCCTACCGGCCAAGCGAGGCGCAGCACCGTCGGTTCCAGACACTATGCAGGCGGCAAAGCTCACTGGCTACTCCAATAATCGCGCACTGCTCAATCTGATGCGCGCAGTGGGTGTATTCCAATTCCGCCTCAGTTTGAATTTTGGTTCATACTGATATGGGCGCCTTTGGGGACCAGTCATATGCGAGGTCTCGCCCCTCGCGCTTGGCCTCCGTTTGGGGATTGTTTTGCAGGCGCCGTTGACGGTTCTATTCTCGTGCAGTTGCGCCGGAGTATGGGTGGGTTGAGGAAGCCCCTGGCGTCTATACAGGTTGACCTACTCGTCCGTTCGTCTGGACCTGGGATGACAAATGGAGCGTTCCCAGGTTTGGAGTTGATGATTTCATCTTTCTCGGAGGTACGGGCCCAGATAGTACTCCTCCTATTAAATTTTATTGTTTTGGAATGCTCCGCATCGCGACAAGGAGGGCTGTGCTGAAGCCAAGCTCTTGGGCAAATTGTGCAGGACAATGCCGATACCTGGTCAAGTGAGGAGACAGAAATCCTTTCTAGCCTGTGTGTTACTGTATCTAGAGTGTCTTAATTATGTCGTTTTATTCTTTCCACCTGCCCCAATCAGAAATGGCGTCGGATGATTTTCTTGGTGCTTTTGGATAAATGATACCTTCATCTTACCAAGGCCGACTCAGCCACTCTCAAAGATCGATAAAACCCCGTCCAAACCGCTTACCTCTACCTCTGCCCCTTCTCCTGCTATATTGATAGATGATAATTATCGTTTTCAAATTATTTTACTAATCTAGAAAGCGTGTCGGTATTATCATGCTGACACCAAACGGAAGCCGTGAGGACTGCCTCCTAAGCCCTCAGGCTAATCTTCAAGATAGAGAGGTATTTGATCTGCCTTGTCACTAAATTTGAGTGATATGCTAACGATGAGCAAGCGACAGAGTTTCTCTTCCCAGTCATCAGAGCAACCGTCTTTGTCACTGGAGATTCCATCAACGGTAGATTCAAATCGGTTGACGGTCCAGAATGATCACCCTCGGACGCCGAATTCAATAGACGGGGACACACTACGTCCCCGATCAGAATCATTCGCTTCAAACGCAGACACCGTCGCACGGTCCCGGGCAAACTCGGAATTCACCATATCGAAAGAGGCCTACGATGATGTACCTCTGTCCGAGGCCCTGACTCCGGATCCGCGCAATGAGCAGGATTTCCGGGTCGAGAACAACAAGTTCGCCTTCTCCCCGGGCCAGCTCAACAAGATGCTCAATCCCAAGTCGCTCGCTGCGTTCCAGGCGCTCGGGGGACTGCGCGGGCTGGAAAAAGGTCTGCGGACCGACTTGACGTCTGGGTTATCCGAGGACGAGGCTCTCCTAGACGGTACGGTCGATTTTCAGGAAGCCACTTCTAGCGACCAGAACCTCTCAAAACAAATTTCACACGACGCACCGACGACACCAGCACCAGCACCAACATCGGGCGGCGGGTCAAGATTCCAGGACCGTATCCGCGTCTTCAGCCAGAATAAGCTGCCTGCGCGGAAATCGACGGGTTTCCTGAAGCTGCTGTGGTTCGCTTACAACGACAAGATTATCATTCTGCTTACAATAGCCGCTATCGTCTCGCTGTCCCTGGGTATCTATGAAACAGTCGATGAGGGGCATGGGGTGGACTGGATCGAAGGTGTCGCCATCTGCGTGGCTATTCTGATTGTAACCGTCGTGACTGCCGTGAATGACTGGCAAAAGGAGAGACAGTTTGCCAAGTTGAATAAGAGGGTAGGTGGAATGATCTCCGCGCTTTGTCTATTTTGTTCTAATCATGTCACAGAATAGCGATCGGGAAGTCAAGGCTGTTCGCTCAGGCAAAGTCGCTATGATCTCCATCTTCGATATCACGGTCGGTGATGTGCTCCACTTGGAACCCGGCGACTCTGTTCCTGCAGACGGTATTCTCATCTCTGGTCACGGAATCAAATGTGACGAGTCCTCCGCCACTGGAGAATCGGACGCGATGAAGAAGACCAATGGACACGAGGTTTGGCAGCGCATTGTCAACGGAGCCGCCACGAAGAAACTAGACCCCTTCATGATCTCAGGCAGTAAAGTCCTTGAAGGAGTAGGGACTTTCCTCGTGACAAGTGTTGGACCGTACTCGTCCTATGGCCGTATCTTGCTCTCTCTGCAAGAGTCGAACGATCCCACTCCTCTTCAGGTGAAGCTGGGAAGACTTGCCAACTGGATCGGATGGCTTGGCTCTAGGTAGGATAACCAGCTCAATATACAGGACTCATGCTAACCTTAATAGCGCTGCGATCATTTTGTTCTTCGCCTTGTTCTTCAGATTCGTTGCCCAACTGCCGGATAACCCTGCCAGTCCAGCGGTCAAAGGCAAGGAATTTGTCGATATTCTTATCGTTGCGGTCACGGTCATTGTTGTGGCGATTCCCGGTAAGACGCTCAAGAGCCCCTTCGGTATGAAATAAGCGTTTGACTAATTCTCCTCAGAGGGCCTTCCCCTGGCCGTAACACTAGCTCTTGCGTTTGCCACGACACGAATGGTCAAGGAAAACAATCTTGTCCGTGTCCTTCGTGCCTGCGAGACCATGGGCAATGCCACTGTTATCTGCTCCGACAAGACCGGCACTCTGACGCAAAACAAAATGACTGTCGTCGCTGGGACCCTTGGAACTCAAAAGAGCTTCAGTCAGGACAGAACGGAGGATGCCGAGCCGTCAGACGACTCCAGTACCGTGGCCGGGATCTTCAAGCAATGCTCAACTGCAGTACGCCACCTGATCATCAAGAGCATTGCGTTGAATTCCACCGCGTTCGAGGAAGAGAAGGAAGGGTCACGAGAGTTCATCGGAAGTAAGACCGAGGTGGCAATGCTGCAAATGGCCAGAGACTATCTCGGCATGGACGTGACTACTGAACGTGGCTCTGCGGAAATTGTCCAGCTGATCCCCTTCGACTCCGCCCGCAAGTGTATGGGTGTGGTCTACCGTGATCCCGCGGCAGGCTATCGTCTGCTGGTCAAAGGCGCCGCCGAGATCATGGTTGGCGCATGCTCCTCAAAGGTCTCCGATCTTAGTGCCTCTTCGGATGGTGTCCTGATCGACACATTCACCGAGGAGGACCGCCAGAAGATGCTTGATACGGTCGAGTCTTATGCTGTGAAGTCCCTGCGCACCATCGGCCTCGTGTACCGGGACTTCCCAAGCTGGCCTCCAAAGGATGCACAACGCGTGGAAGACGACCCATCTGCTGCCAAGTTCGAAGATGTCTTCCGTGATATGACTTGGCTTGGTGTTGTGGGTATCCAGGACCCCCTGAGACCCGAGGTGCCGGCTGCGATTCAAAAGTGCGGTATTGCTGGTGTGCAGGTGAAGATGGTCACTGGTGATAATATCGCAACGGCCACCGCTATCGCCCAATCCTGCGGAATCAAGACAGAGGATGGCATTGTCATGGAGGGTCCCAAATTCCGTCAGCTGTCAGACCAGGAGATGGACGAGGTCATTCCCCGCCTGCAAGTCCTGGCTCGTTCCTCGCCCGAAGACAAACGGATCTTGGTGGCACGGCTCAAGAAGCTGGGCGAAACCGTCGCTGTCACCGGCGACGGCACCAACGACGGACCAGCCTTGAAGACAGCTGATGTCGGTTTTTCAATGGGCATTGCAGGCACGGAGGTTGCCAAGGAGGCCAGCTCTATTATCCTCCTCGATGACAACTTCAAGTCTATTGTTACGGCAATCGCCTGGGGCAGAGCTGTTAACGATGCCGTGTCAAAGTTTCTCCAATTCCAGGTCACAGTCAACATTACTGCTGTCATCTTGACCTTTGTCTCGTCCCTCTACAGCAGTGACAATTCGAGTGTCTTGAGTGCGGTTCAGCTGCTCTGGGTCAACCTGATCATGGACACCTTTGCCGCCCTCGCACTTGCAACTGACCCCCCGACAGAAAAGATTCTCCACCGCAAGCCCGTCCCCAAGAGTGCATCACTTTTCACTGTGACTATGTGGAAGATGATCATCGGACAGGCCATCTATCAGCTTGCCGTCACCTTTATGCTCTACTTCGCTGGCGACAAGCTTCTCGGAAGCCGCCTCGGCACCGACAATCGTCAGTTGAAGCTCGACACTATCGTTTTCAACACATTTGTTTGGATGCAAATTTTCAACGAATTCAACAACCGAAGACTTGACAACAGGTTGAACATATTCGAAGGCATGTTCCGGAACTACTGGTTCCTCGGAATCAACTGCATCATGGTCGGGGGTCAAGTAATGATCATCTACGTCGGAGGTGCAGCCTTTGGTGTGACTCGCCTGGACGCTGTTCAATGGGGTATTTGCATCGTCTGTGCCATTGCCTGTCTGCCATGGGCAGTGGTCTTGCGATTGATACCCGACCGGCCAGTCGAGGTTATAATCAACTTCGTCGTCCTAGTTGTGGGCACCGCCTTGCGGCCGATTGGCATGGTCTTCCGTGCCATTTCGAGAACAGTCTCGTCTATGATGCGACCTGTCAAGCGCTTCAGCCGTCGTGTCCTGCGTCGGAACGCGGAGGAGGACGACTCCAAGACAGAGAAGGAGGAAGCGCCCTTGACAGACGTGGAGAAGCAGCATACGCCCAACGCACCTGCCACGCCGGTAGTTGTGCCTCCCATTACGATTACGAGCTCTTAATGATTCTATACGACCACTCGGCTTGTTTCCAAATCACTTCTGGCTGTGGGAGGGCCTACTTGAACTTCACATGATTGACGACGCTCCCTAGATATATACATACGCATATACTTTGTAACGATGGTTTGGCATACTCGTTTTCTGTTCTCTTGCTCTACGTTTGTCTGCATCATTTGCTGAGAGCAAATGACTGGCGTTGTTGGCTGCCTGTCTAGCTTGAGCGTTCTCTGACTTTGTGAAAGAAATTGTACGATAGTTAATTAGCATAATGGTGCATCGTCTGATTTCATCTTGAAAGCATCGAGAATTACTTAACTTCATCCTTGAGTGAATAGAAATCCAAGCTTGGATGGCGAAGAATACGTAAAGAGTAATCCGTACAAAGTGGAGTTTCTGCCTAAGGCTGCAAGATCCACGACATGCCCATCCTCAGCAGGCGTCCAAGTTAAGCTGTCTCTTAGCTGTCCCGTTTCGCTCAATTCCCCCTCCCTGAATTTACAGTCATATAAGCAATTACCGAACGACTGTTTTTCATAGCCATCTGACCGCACACCAATATAGCCCACTCCCCGTCTTCACATCACCGTACGTCATCTGGAGCTTCCCCCGCTTCATTCCACCGACATTGAACCTTAGGCAGGTATGTGTTCTCTCGATACTCGTGCGAACCAATCTAACAAGCTACTAACTCTGCAAACAGTTTTCAATTCCCTGAATTAGTGTTGTTTTGTATTCCCGAATCTCCATTGTCGTCATACACCCACACCCCTATCCGAAATCACAGCAAAAAGCAGCCATGGCACAGCTAAACTACCGCACAATCAACATCGACGTGCTGGACCCCGAGTCCTCGGTCAACTTCCCCATGGAGACCCTCCTCCCCGCTACCCTCCCACCCCCGCAGACATCCTCCGACGCTGCCAACGTCGCCAGCCAAGTCCGCCAGCTGCTCCGCGGCGGCGACCCCGAGGGCGCCCTGCGGTACGTTCTCGACACGGCCCCGCTGGGAGGCGACGATCGCGCCAAGGAGGTGCACATGGCTACCGTTGTGGATGTGCTGCAGGGGATCCGCCAGGGGGAGATGACCCGCGTACTGGAGGGGTATGTAGCGGGGAGGGCGGATCAGAGAGGGCGGACTGTCTGATGAAGTATTTGTAGGTTGCCCTTGCCTTGCCTTGCCTTGCGGGCAATAAATACTGTCGGGAAGGGAGACTCGGTGCTGACGGTGACTAGGTACAAGGGAATGGCTGCTCCGGCTCCTGGTGGCGGGGCGCAGTCGCCTCGGAAGTCGGTGTCTCCGCAGAACACGGGGTTCTCGCAGATTCAGGCTCGGAATCTGGGTGAGGGCGGCAGTGCGCAGCAGATGAGTGTGTTGCTGAGCTGGCATGAGAGGTTGGTTGAGCTTACGGGTACTGGGTCGATTGTTCGGGTTATGACGGATCGGAGGACGGTTTGAGGAGACAAACTACTACGAGGTACTCGGAGGTTTAGTGGTGCTTCTTTCTTTTCTATTTGTCTTAGAAGTCGAGCTTGGTTCCTCTGCGTTGCGGATGGGTGATATCCTTGTTAGATTGCGCAGCTTCTATTATACATATTGTTTTTCTCTTTTTATTCATTCGAGATCCTCATTCAAGAACCATATGATTATGGACGATCGAAGGACCCGCCTCCAAGGATATCCTTCAGATTAACCTGCCCACTGCCTCTCTGCAACGGTTGCGCTTGACCTTCCCCTTCCTTCCACCCGATCATGTATATCAGGCGAAATGTAGCGGGGATACCCCTCGACCCCTCCTCCTTATGCAACTCCCGGTAGATCGCCTCGTTTGCTAAGAGCACATCGCGCGAGATAGGCCCCAACTCCCGATGCAAAATGGCATTGTTTTCCCCCATCGCCTGGAGATCCTGCATGAGCGCAAATGTATCCGGGAACTCGACCACAATATCCTCAACGTCCACCGTCAACATCTTGAATCCGGCCTTGTTCAGCAGCCCGCCGACATCCCGGACGTCTGCCAGAGGGGACACATGCGGGCTGACGCCACCCCTCCGCTCGAGGTCCGCCAGCTGCAGCGACGTGCGGAGCTCAAAGAGCGTGTCGCCGCCGAACATGGCTGCGATGAAGGGGCAGTCCGGCTTGAGGATGCTGTTCACCTGTGCCAGGAGAGAGGGAAGGTCGTTGATCCAGTGGATGGAAAGGGAGGACAGGACGGCGTCGAAGGTGTTGGGTTCGAAGGGCAGGGTCTCGAGGTCCTGGACGACTTGCCGCTCAAGATTGATCCCCTTGTTGAAGGGCTCGTCTGCGTCTCGGTAGAGGAGGGCGTGGGACGTGTCGATGCAGGTGAGTTTGGAGATCTTGTCCGCTAGAGGCGGCGATGTCTCGGTGCTGGGGTCCGGGTTTGGTGTTGTCAGGGCGCGGGCGATGTTGCAGCTGTTGGCGCCTAGGTCCAGGACATGGGGGAAATCTCGTTTAATATCCTGCAGGGCAGAAGGTTAGCCATAACCCTTCCAAGGACTCGAGCAGAAGAGCTTGCCAGTAGCCGTTCGCACAACCGTGTAGCCACCTCGTCCTTGATGTAGTCTGTTTTCCTGCTCTCGTCCACGTTCCGAGCTGCGCGGTCTCTCTGGAGATGCTTGACTTTGCGGTTGAACACATCGATTACTGGATTGCCGGGTGTCTGGCTGGCGTAGCTCCTCGTTGCAGTGTACAAGGGCTGTGATCGGACCGCTCGACGGAATATATGGCGGAGTGACATGGTGATCTGCGAGTATATGAATTGATTGTCAGATGTCAAGTCTATAGCATTCCGAAATTTGATATGTATTCAGTTCGAGATGCAATTGACGGGCCTGGGATGTTGATGCGATCGAGCAGTCGTTAAGCTGTCGGCAGGTGACGTCGACTTTATTTTTGTTGCTCAGAGGAACTCCGCAATTTCGCGTTGGGACAAAAAACATCTCTATTCTCCACGCCTGGTTTCTTGTCTGAATTGAACAACGCAGATGGTGGAGATTGTCTCGCTGACATGACTTGTTGAAAACATCATATGCATCTGAAGTGATGCTCTTTAATTGTGAGATTACCCCGCTGTGGAATACATATCGCCTACCGACAGTGACAGCTAACCATCACAGGAGTAGGCTCCATATCGTACCAAGGTGCTCCTGGGATTATGTTCAATTACGCCGTATAAGACACCATTCGGCTCGCGGTCAATTTAATACAATTTGAGAAAGAAACCGCCTTCACCATGTCGCGCCCTTTCCCCTATACCTATATCTCATGTCCATGTGCGGATACCCCTGTTCCTGATCGTTCCAGAAAACGAAGGTCGCGAGAGTCTCCCACCAAAAAGCCAGAACAGGGAGTCCCTTCAACAGTCGCCGATACTGAAGAGGAGGAAGAGGAGGAGGAGCAGACATTCGACCCCCGAGCTCCGCGTTCCAACTTCTCTCTGCATCCTCCAGAACAGCTGCTGTACTGTGAGGACTGCCATCAGATAAAATGTCCGCGATGCATCACAGAGGAGATTGTGTGCTGGTATTGTCCGAATTGTCTGTTCGAGACGCCGAGCAGCATGGTTCGAAGTGAGGGTAATAGGTGGGTGCCATTAGGTCCTGTTTCGCCAGTAGTTCCCCGCTGAAGAGCTGCTTGCTCCGGTTAGATGCGCCAGGAACTGCTTCAATTGCCCCATATGCACCGCACCTCTTGCAGTCAACACGCTCGAGAATGTCACGGGAAGTGAAGGCCAACAAGGACCATGGGTGCTTTCCTGCGCATATTGCATGTGGTCATCTCTGGACATTGGAATCAAATTCGACAAGCCTACCAACATCTGCGCACAGCTTTCCAAGATGACCGATACTACAACCGCTCGCGGTAGGCAGATGTCCAAAACCGTGGGTGAGCTCAAGTCTCCTTTGTCCACATACTCCACCATCGACGATCAATTTCCGACCCCAGGAGAAAGCAGAGATGGTCAATCTACGCCATCCGGCGACCAGTCTGCCGCCCCTTTGACTTCGGATGGGAGGTTCTCCGCGCTCAAGGCGTTTTACAAAGACCAGATAGCTGCGACGTCCACATCGCCCACAGATCCTCTGGGTACCGACTTTGGGCCTGGCTTTGCCTCACCTGGTGCTCTAAACCGTATAATGTCTCTCTATGCGGCCTCATCACGGCTCAGCAATCTCTACGGTGGTGCCAACAAGAAACCTAAATCAAAGCCTCCAGTCATGCGAGAAGCTTTGACCGCCAGCGAGGGTCTGAAAGTCCCTGCTCCCGGCGCAGAAGACGCCATCGTCCAGCGAATTGCCTCGGAAGAATGTGGCTGGGACGGTCTCGCGTCGATCGAGCAGCGCATGTTCCAGTCCCCCGATGCTCGGTTCGTGGAGGATCTTCTCCCTCTACCAGTATTACTCCGAACCAAGCGCTCGAAACGCTGCAAGTCGTGCAAGCACATCCTCGTCAAGCCCGAGTTCAAGCCTCAGTCCACCCGGTTTCGCATCCGTCTCATTGCCCTCAGCTACATACCTTTACCGACTCTACGACCTCTAGCCCTGGGACCGCCTACGGGTCTCCCCGCAATAACACCTTCAACATCCAGTTCAACTCCTAACCTGGACGCCCTCCCCCCGCTGAAACCCTTCCAGCTCCTTCTGACCCTCAAAAACCACATGTTCGACCCTGTTCGGGTAACCCTCGCTACGCCCTCAGTAACACCAGGCCGCGTAGCCACCAAAGTCACAATTCTCTGCCCGCAATTCGACATCGGAGCCAACAGCGACGTCTGGGATGAAGCCCTGCAGGGCACAACAGGAGGAGACCAGCGCTCTTCCCGCTCGGGCGGGATGAACCTCGGGTACGAGAAAGTCGCAGAGGCAGGCAAAGTCTGGGACAAGGGACGGAACTGGACGACCGTCGTCCTGGAAGTTGTTCCCGGGACATTACCCGGCGGCAGTCTAGGGACCCGCAGACGGCAATCTCTCGGTGGTGGTGGTGATGATGACGATGGGGACGGGGATAGCAGCGCCAGCATCGACGATGATGACGATAGTGGTAACAACAATGGCAGCCTCGACTGGAGCGGACAGGCCAAGGACCCCAAGAACCAGCTCCAGCCTGACGAAGACGTCCTCGAGATCCCGGTCTTTGTTCGTATGGAATGGGACTCGGAGAATCAGATGGAGCAGGCTGCTGGGAAGGGGCAGAACTCCGATACGGTCAAGAGAGAATTGGCGTATTGGATGGTGCTGGGGGTTGGCCGAATCACGGCAGAACTTGCATAGTTGGTTTCGCTTTTTCAGGTGGATACATCTATATACTCCGTAGATAGTTTACATACCCATTGCGTTAATATATGCGTACATACGGAGTATTTACGACTGCTCAGGTGTTCACAGTGAAAATACTTTCCTTGATATACCCCATGCTACGCAAGGCAACTTGAAAGCTCAGCGCTGGGTGCTGAGCTACGATGGCATGGAGACGGTCCAGGTCTAAACCCAAAGCCCTAACCATGGGTTTCTATGAAAGGACGCCGAGTGGACCAGGAGAAGAATGGAAGAAAATGAGTCTTTTTAACCATGCCGGAAAGAAAAGCCTGGAACCAGTAGATCATGATTTTTTTATTATCACATCGCATCCCTTCATTTCAGGAACCTTTATCCTTGTACCCGAGAACCAGATCAAGCTACCCCATCGCAGAAGGGCCATGATGAGAATGCATATTTTGTGCGTGGGAAATAAAAAGTCAACCTTTTCTCATTCCTGTCTCTCTCTCTCGCGCGAGAACCCGCCCCCGACACGAAATCCCACCAGGACCCCTCCGTGTGCACTTCGCTTTATTTATCTAAACCACATGATTCTGACAAGGATAAATAAATCTAGTACTCGGCGGCACCGCTCTGGGGGAACTCGAAGACAACAGAGCGGCCGGTTAGTCGGCGGTAAACCTCGCCATAGGCGTCGAGTCTGTGGTCAACACCACCACGCTCCTTCTCGTCCAGGATGACCTTGAGAGTCTTGCTGCCGTCCTCCTTGGTGCGGATACGCTTGCCGACGATCTCGACGGGGTAAACGAGGTCGTTGAGGATGGCGTCGTGGACAGCGGTCAGGGTGCGAGAGCGAGGACGCTTCTGCTTCTGGTTGGTGCGGGAGTTGACAGAGCGCTTGGGGCGGGGCAGGATGCGGCGCTGAGCAACGAAGAGGACGTGGCGGTCGGAGAACTTCTTCTCGAGCTCACGGGTCAGGCTATACAAATTCCGTGTCAGTTTCTGCAGTTCATCCGCTGTGATGCTGGTTTCTGCTTGGCAGTTCGTACCGCTGCTGGATCTTGTGGAAGCCCTGGAGGAGAGGGACGGGGACGAAGATGATAACGGCCTTCTTGCCGTGGCCGACCTCAACCTGTAGTACCGTGTTAGATGACCTGAGAAAATAGCTATGCACAAAAGCCCGTATGAGTCCAGTGTCCATCACACCCGTATCACCCTTCCATCTAGTCTTCCCTATTTCCCAGGCTGCGAAGAGACGTGTAAAATCTGCCATTGAAACAAGCTTGCGCACGCAGAGCAATCTCCGCACACAATCCCATCAAGCATATAGATATACCACACCCGTCCAATATTTATTGTTTTTTTCCCATTCCTCGCTTCGAAGAACAATTGTGGTGCAATTGACACTGGACTCATGCGGACTGGAAGACAAAGTAATCAGGCGAGTCTTACCTCACGGGCAGAGACAAACTGCAGGGGCCGAAGGGTGGCCTTCAGGTCCTGTGTGTTGCTCTCCAAGTCGAAGAGAGCGCCGGCGATCGCAGTCTCCAGCTCGGAGGGGTTCTGCCTCGATGGCGAGTTGTGGGCGATCTTGTTGATAGCAGCCATGATTGCAGACGAGCGACGGGTAGCTGGCTGTGCTGCTGGTGCTGCTTTCCTTGTCGCGAGGGGAGTTGGTCGTCGAAGGGGAAAATAATCGAGGTTCAGGACGGAGTTCCTACCCTACAATTTGCGCTCGGTCGTGCTGGTGTGGGATCGGAGTCTCGGCGCCTCGCTTAGCGGTATTGCGCTTTGCCGTTGTGGGGTTAGCCTCTGCCCTCTTAGGGGATCGCTCATCCCGTGACTTTCTTCGCCCTTTGCGCCTAAGGCACTAACATTTACATCACATTTACAGGTCATCGACAGACTACGTAGGACTTCTTGTTAGTCTTGTACAGAGTTGGCGTAGTAGGTTTCTCTTAAGGAATTCAATTTTACAGCTCAACAGGTGGACTGTCACAATATCCACATTCGGCTAGAAAATACAACGTTTCAGAATCAGGTTCAACTGGCTCAAAACGCACTGGGGATCAATAGGAAGTCACAGCAGGGCAAGACATTCGGAAGATGAACAAGAGTAGAAAAGAGAAAGAGTCCCAAGCAGTCACAGAGTAATGCGGGAAATAAAAGAACACGCCTTGAACTATTAGGACAGGTTGCATGCATTGGAACCAGGCCGATCCTGTTCCAAGGCGCACTAATCTCTGAAGCTATGGCGCTTACAGCATATGCGTATTCAGGGAAAGAAGAAAATGCGGACAGAGAAGAATCAATTTAACAGGCGCAACCTTCCTTGGCTGTAGCAGCGGCTCGATCTCCAAGATTGACTCTTGTATCGTCCGCGGGACGTCCAGCACCCAGGGCAGTTTGACCGGTTCCCGCACCGGCACCCCGTCCACTCTTCAAGCTGCTTTCAGGAATAGCATTGGCGATCGCAGTAAAGACCTCAGCGACATTCGTGCCGGTCTTGGCACTGGTTTCGAAAAACAAAAGGCTCTCTTCCTCCGCATAGGCACTAGCCTCCCGTGTCGAGACCTTCCGGGCATCTCCCGGGGTAGCTTCCTGCTCCTCATGGTTATCGCCGGTAGCGTCCTCGCCTTCAGCGCCAGATGATTCGTGCTCATCATTGGCTTGTGGTTGCTCAGCGGCCTCCCCGCCATCGCTCGTGAGATCCAGCTTATTGCCAACAAGGGCAATCACGATCCCGGGGCTAGCTTGACGTTGAAGCTCGGCAACCCAGTGTTTTGCCTTGGTGAGGGAGGACGGTTTTGTGACATCGTAGACTACCAGCGCCGCCTGGGCGTTACGGTAGTACATCGGGGCGAGCGAAGCAAAGCGTTCCTGGCCGGCTGTGTCCCAGATTTCGAACTTGATGGTGCGGGTAGGCAGGGAACATTTCTGCGTCAGGAAGGCGGCTTAATTCCACAGAAGTAGCTCATCAGCATCCGGCAAAAGATTTCCGTCGCAATAATTCAGCCGGCTTCCTCACCTCCAATGGTAGGCTCTTTATTCTCCTGAAAATCGTTGTTGACAAATCGCAAGACGAGTGATGACTAGAAAACCGGGCAATTCAGTAAAACGTCAGACACTTTTGGTTACCCGTGTACGACGGAAACGAAAGGAAAAAACGGGTAGGGAGGAAAGTCCATGCCGGGACGCCGTACCTTTCCAACAGCGGCTTCACCCAGCAGCACGAGCTTGACGCTGCTGCTCGGCTTGGGGGCGTTGGCGCTTGTTGAGTCAGACATGGTTGGCGAGCCCAAATTTATGTGATCAGGTCTTCTTGCAGGTACTTCACACACGGACACCGGCTATCAAACGCTGAGCGAAGAATGTCAGCTCGCGTTAGGCGGTATGGTCGGCAGCGCGGAGGACCAGGGTAGGAAATCAAGTCAAGGTTGCCTAAAGTACGCAGGCCCTACTGCACGGAATCCAATCCTGACAAGGGTGTTTGATAAGGATGAAGAAGTCGCGAAAACAGCGGTGACAGCTGTAAAAGTTGTCACAAACCAGTAGATAGATTGATAGGTGATTACTACCTAGGTGGGCAGGCATGTATCCAGTGAGGCGTAGTCGTCAGCGATGACCTATGGAGATGAGGCTGCCGAAGCTGGTTTAGCGTCAGTTTCCACTGGCATCAGCAGTCACGGGATGTTTCCGCCTCAGGTTGGTGATTCACAAATCAACTAGATAACTAGGTCAGTTGTAGTGGAAACGTAGACACATTCTCAGGGGAGTCATCGCGCCTAATGGGTGTAGTTCTCTGTTCTCTGAAGACTTAAGAGATGTACAGCTCATCTACCTAGTGGAGTAAATGCAGTTAGAATAGACATGCGCTGAACAATGGGAGACAGCGGAGTCCAATATAATTGGCTGCAAGCTACCTGTCAACGTTGGTCCAGCCTGCCCAAGCCAAGGTACCTTAAGGTATTCAGCTGTCCATCTATGTACCGGATTAGTATAAACAACAATCTTCCCGTATCGACTGGCCAAAGAATGAACATGTCACTGCCCCCAGACAGGTTCTATGGCTAGTCAGGTAAGTAATTTTTGTGGCATGGCGTTCAGTCATCTCCAAAGCCAACGTTGCACCGCATGATTCGCCCAGAACCAGATACATCCATGATGTAGCTGCCCAAGGGATGAAGCACATGCACGACGAACACCTTGACTTCCGACCAGGGTCCTACGATCCACTAGCAGGCTGAGATAATGCATGGCAACCGTCAATCGGGCAAATTGGTCTGCATGCTCCCGTCGATAACCTTACTCAGGAACAAATGAGTCAACGTTCAAGGTATGCTGACTCGGTCAAGGTTAACTACCAAATTTTGACAAAGGTACATGCGAAATATCCTGATTTCAGAGGGCACAAGGCACACTTGCGTCTATTCTCAACGTGCTGTCAATATAGTACATATGCCAATAGAATTCAGAAAGCCCCACAATGCTAATATCGATGTCGAGACAAAGGAAAGAAAATTATGAAAAGAGAAGAAAGAATTGGCCGCGAGGCCGTCAGTTCTATGGTATCAACCCATGTATCCCATGTAATATCCTTCCCGTCTATGCCGAACGCCTGAAACAAAGGAAATCCTCAAATAAAAACAAAAAAGCACTTTTGGTGGTACAGATCATCCATCCGAGATGGTTCATGTCGGCGAGATTAAAAGCGTAGGTGACCGAATAGGAGGTCGAAGAATCGAAAGATAAGATCAGCGGTTGCTAATGTGGGAGAGAACGCGAACGCTGGAGTCGAGCAAAGTCGAAGGGTATTAAAGCGAGGTAGCCAAAAGAAAAATAAAGTGATATCGAAGATGCAATAGTGTTACAAGACTAGATATCTGTCAGCGATGTGAACGAATAGAGCCCATCAGGAAAGCTTACAGAAGAGCCAACAGTGTAGCAGACACACGAATTCCAATCGCTATGAGCGCCAGCGAAGGAGATGGTGATGGAACCACAAAAGAATACTTTGTCCTTTTGGAGGAGTCATAGTATCATGTGGTATGAGATTTTCAGAAGCGTTTTTATCGGGTGGACGGCGGTGGTGGAGGAGCACCGGGCTTCTTTACTCCTGTGGTATCATAGGCGCCTCGTCCCATGTTGAAGGCTGACAGATCCCGGAGTATCATCTCGGATTCTACACAGAGAGCCATTGTTAGATATTGATATTTCCCGCTGGATGCACACGAACGGAGGAAAATCGGGGTGAACGCAGAGAAGGAGACTCACTGAGCAATTAAATAAAAGATTCCTTTGGGGGCTTAAATATATTCCCCAATAAATTAATAAATTATCGTGTGTATATGGCAAATGTCGCGAGGTATCCAATGTTCTCGAACGAGAAGAGGCGGTGATGATGCAGGCGATAGATGGTGCAGCTGCAGATGAGATTGGAAGCGCAACCTCTTATTAAGGATATCCACAGCACTGAAGCTGGGAAAGAGGGTATTGTAACTTGTTGATGCAGCAAGCACCAGCAGCGGCGAAAAGACGATCTGTAGGGCAGGAATGTGACGCTGAATGATCCGAGAAAATGGACTGTAGGAATGGAGGCCAGGTGGAGCCCGAAATCAAATCGACAGGTCCAGTGTTTATCTTTTCCTTTTCCCTTTTGCTGAGGCTTCTGCAGCGTTCTTTATCCGATGTTAAAAGGACCTTTGCTTGTTTTCCTTCTTTTTATTTTGCTTTCCCCCTTTCTGAAGTCTGAATTGTAACAGTCGTGAAATGCAAGTCTCGATCCAAGCGCAATCTGCCCGACGAAATGGGACAGACTAATGCAACAGACGGCAGGGAGGTCGATCTCTCGAACAAAGGAGTACAATAGTGGCGCGGAAGTAGCTCCGTCTGATCCGCTGGTAAAAAGAAAACACGATTGGACGTATCGCAAGGGAGGGAGGGAGGCGCTTTGGTAACGTCACCGAAAGGGATAATGATAGGATTGCGAGTGGTGGGAAGCACCAAAGGGAATGAGAGGGAGCACGGAACGTATGAGAATAAGGTGACAGAAGGGGAGGAGAAGGAGGAAGAGGACAGGGCGAGAGTGGTTGAGGAATGAATGAAGAATTCACGAGCAAGCTTGAAGGGGGTCCATCGTAGAGATATATAGGTGTTGTAAATTAGGTATGGACTATGGGGACTATGGATAATATTCACTCCTGGTTGATACCTCAGGACCAATATTATTTTTATTTATCTTGTGTTTTTCAATTAATTTTCCCCCAAGATCTGAGAACGATAAATCATACTCTCGAATTAAGAATTTTATAAAGGGAAAAAGAAAAATCGAACAGAAAATAATAATGATGATAATAATAATTAAAAAAGAGAATTAACAATACCAAAAAATAAAATTAAATTAAATTAAATAATATGACGAGAAAAAGAAGACAATATCGATACAGGAGAGACCGGCCCAAAAAGTCAGATCATTAGGGGGAGCTTCTGTTCTTAGCGGCTCTCCCCGTTCCCTTGTCCCGGGGGAGAGGTACGCGACGCAGTGGATGCGCATCCCCCTTTCTTAGGAGTTTTACCTACTTGCGGTTACAGTACGGAGGACGGAGTACTAGACTACCTGAGGTCCTGACTTGCTCCGGTCCCAACGTTCTCTGGCTCTGAGAGTCAGAGAATCTGAAGGCTATTAAAGTTCTAATAAGGATAATGTTCATGTGAAGCTGGCTATTCCTGGGTGTTCCTGGCTGGTTTTATTTGACTTTACGAGGGGTATTAGTTTCTGTTCTCGAAACATTGCTAATAGCGTTTTGTTCCTTATTTATTAAGGCCTCGTCCACCCAACCAACCTTCTTCTCTTTGTTAGAGCAATCCCACCTGCTGACAGTGAGTGACTGTACTTTTATCCATCACCTGTCACTTTTCTTGCCGGCTACAGGTTTTCCAAATCATTCTGTTGGACCTCGGAGGTAAGCCAGAGACCACTAGCAAGGATGAACCCGTTCCTCCTGATTCAGAAGGACATGTGTAAGCTATCTCACGGAATCCCGTACCCAGCCATCAAGCAAGCAAGCAATCAATCCCAGTGCTTAGTACCTTAGGTACTCAGAGTTGACGTACTTTTCCGTGAGGCGTCATTATTGCAGACCTGATGAATATCCGAAAAGATGAGACAAAACGACTTGTAGCAGAAAAGGCGGACAGGTCCAGAACAGAAAAGGCAAAGAAAATTCCAGCTCTCCACTTGGAAGAAAGCTAGAAAGCAGGAACCGATTCTTCGGACACGACGGACTGGGTATATGCATTTGGGTGGGGACCCAGGCACCCAGTCACCCACCAGGAACAGAACGGATGGATCCGAATTCAACCCAAAGTTACTCCGCCTATCTAGGCTCATGATCTCATCCCCATTACATCCGATTCTGTCGCGTGGTTTTCCTGTGAGGCGGAAACGGCTGAGAGGGATAATTGATTATTATTAACTAATACCCATAGCACCTATCTACAGTACTACCGGAATTACCTTGTGATCCCCGGAAGCCCTACCCTTGAATTTTCCAAGCTATCTTCCTGCTTCTAACCGTGTTCAGTATGATCGCTTCAGACGGGTGTTCTGGGTTGAAACTCCTAATTTTCCAAGTAAATTGTTGTATTGTCAGTGACTCAAAGCAAAGTCAGTAGTTGTCCTTTGGTTGGCTGAATGCACGATATGATAAGGAACCATTGAGCTTCTTGATATGTTTACAGGACAAGAATCCTGCCAGTCAAGCCTTGGTTGAAATAAGCTACCCCATGCATGAGAATGCTCAGTGGCCTGGGAGATCTGTGTAATTGTCGCTTAGCTTATCCTGCATATTCCGGCGCAAAATATCAGCACTCTCCATCTTCCTTGATGATGGCATACCGTAGGAATCTGTAAAAACGGGGCTTCCATGGCTGATCTTAACCCTTTGAGGCCACTAAAAGTCAACAGCCGTCAAGTGGATAAATAGAACCAATCCAGAAGCTTCCCGCCCTCCTGTCTAGGTACTTAGTCTCGGGAAGTCCACCATGATGGGCGACTATTGATTCGGGATTCTTCCCCTAGTTTGGTCCACTTCTCCTGATTGAGTCAAACGTCAGGCCAGACTGATCATTGAACATGTTCCGGAATTTCCTGTGCTCTGACATGTTCCAGGATTCCCTTGGTATTTATGTCGATGTATCGAATGATAGCATCATGTTGATATGATACATAAATGTCTTGTATTCTTTTATTTCTTTTCTAGTCTGTGTCAAGTTGACAATGCAAGTTGACACTGTCGACTGTGGTTGTAACTCCCGGTCGCCGGGGAAATCGGGCTAGTCGACGAAAGGGGCAGTGGGGCCACCTAACGTAGGTACAGTGTGAAAACTAACCAATCCTTTCCGTCTGATTTCCCGCCCCCGTTGCACTAGCCTACGTATTCCATGCGACTAGCATTCTTCTCGCGTTCTTCTAGTCGTTCTAGCGTCTTGCCCTACTGTCTGTACCCGCGTGGCCGCGAGACCCTCTCAGAAAACATACGGCTTGCAGACTGGCAGTCAATTTCTGGTGGACTGATAGTTACCGGTAGAGCCTAGTACGTATGAGCACTCAAGCCCTACAGAGTACAGGCCACGGAGTACGACTTCTAGAACACCTTATCCAACGGTTCCGCTCAGGAAGTGGGACTGTTCTGACAGACTTGACGCCTTCCCCCTTAAAGGTTCAAGATCCCTGGAGACCGGGCATGTGTGGTTTCCCGCCGTTCAGCCAATCATACATCAAGCAC